CGAGACAAAGCAACTGACAGAAATGCTTCCCAGCATTCTAAACCAGCTTGGGGCAGACAGTCTGACTAGTTTAAGGAGACTGGCTGAAGCTCTGCCCAAACAATCTGTGGATGGAAAAGCACCCCTTGCTACTGGAGAGGATGATGATGATGAAGTCCCAGACCTGGTGGAGAATTTTGATGAGGCTTCTAAGAACGAGGCAAACTGAACGGAGGGGACTTCTGAAGAAGTGACTCTTGCAGAAGTTACAGGAGCTGCTATTTTATATCATGGCTGCTTTTTAAAGGTCTTTTGTTTATGGATCTGATCAAATCTAGATCGCTAATATTTTTAAGCCCAAGCCCCTTGGACACTGCAGCTCTTTTCAGTTTTTGCTTAAACACAATTCATTCTTTGCAGCAAATTAAGCTGAAGAAGCCTGGGAATAAAGTTTGGAAAAGGGTTAATAAAATTCTTTGCCTAGTTAAAAAAAAAAAGAGTGCTTCTGTGAACTGGGAGGAGATTATAATTTATCTCATCACATTGTAGCTATTTGACCATATGCTTTTTCTTTCTGGGTAGCCAGGTTGTCATAGATAAGAACTGATTCTTTATGCCTTCCGGTTTCCTGCCTTCCAGTGGCCATTAATGCGTTTTAATGGCGAGAATAATACACGATGCATGAATGACTTAGTTTCTCAGAAGAAACAAAAGCATTCATTTAAGTACATTTTCTAAAAATGTAAGCGAGTGAAATACTAGATGAACAAGTAGAAACAAAAACCATGGTTTCTTTGCCCAGGATATAATATTTATTAAGAAACATCACAAGACATAATACTACAGATATAATGGAAATACCCAATAGGCAAGCTGATTATGATCCAAAAAATAAGGAATCAAAGGCAAAATGAGGAATAGTTCAGTTTGTTCCTTCCTTCCTTCCTTCCTTCCTTCCTTCCTTCCTTCCTTCCTTCCTTCCTTCCTTCCTTCCTTCCATCCTTCCTTCCTTCCTGAGACAGGATTTCTCTGTGTAGCTTTGGAGTCTATCCTGGAACTTGCTTTGTAGACCAGGCTGGCTTCGAACTCACAGAGATCCGCCTGCCTCTGCCTCCTGAGTGCTGGAATTAAAGGTGTGCGCCACCACAGCCAGGCTGGTCTAGCCTATTTCTTAGAGGCTGGAGGTGCAGTAAAGAACTTCCATTTTCCATGATGACATTCGAAGAATGTCGCTCAGCTGTAGTCTGATGCCTTTGATGCTGAAAAGTTTTAAGTAAACAGAAATGAAAAACTGGTCATCAAGCAGGATGGAGAGAGCTCTAGTCTGTTCTTAAGAAAAGATTTCTCAAGAGTTTGATAATTTTTAAATCTGCAAGCGTTTCAGACTCAGTCTATCCAGAAAGACTTGGTGAATTCTTAGCATTTCTGGATCCACTGTAGAGGGTCAAGATATTGATTATAGAACAGACCCAGACAGGACTGTGATGAACTGGTACTCTATAGCCCCATAATAGACAATGAAGTAAAGGTTGAAGAACTTGTTGCTGGTCCAGGGTTGGTCAAGGAGATGCACAATTCAGGAGCATTGAAAATCTGCAACCTGGCTCTTAACAGGTGAGTTAGCAGCAGTAGCAGCAGCAGGCTGGGCGGCAGCAGGACTGTCCACAGTAGGATGGGCGGCAGCAGGAGGCCTGGGCATGGTGCAGCTGGCAGCAGGTTGGGGGAATAGAGCTCACCACGCAACAGGGAGGCAGGTAGGTGCCCTCCACGCGGCAGTCTGGGCGGCACCATCTAACGCGGTAGCTCACGCCTCCATAGCCACCCTCCTGGCCGTAGCCAATGCCACCCCCGATGCCATAGCCGTAGCCACCCCCGATGCCATAGCCGTAGCCACCTTCGCAGCAGCTTGGTTGGAAGCAGCTGGAGCCGCAGGTAGCACCAGTGGAGCAAGAGGGAAAGCCGCAGAAGCTAGTAGTACAGCAGGCCATGGTGTTAGGAGTTGGTTGAGTGTTGAGTAGCTGGGATGAGTTTCTGAGTTTGGGAGCTGACCTGAACACGGGCCCTTTATATAGTCAGGCGAGCTAGTGCTTATAAAATTCTTAACATATTTTTCTTGTTTTTGTTTAAATTTGTTCCTCAGTGGTACTCTGATTGGCTTCCATTGAAATTCTTGTGACATATGATGGGAATGACTTTGTTTTATAAGGTTGTTGCGACTCGTTCTATGGGCCATGTACTCTTTAGGGGAGTGTTTGTGGTTTCCATGTTCAAAGAGCCTTCTCACTTTAGGTTAGGGCAACACCCTTATTGTGAATAGTTGCCATTCCTCTTGGGCATCTATGCACAACTCCGAAGCAGAGGAAAATTTGATCTTTCCAAGAATCATTTTTTCCCTCCTGGATACATAGACCAAGTTACATTTAATTTAGAACACTGGGGGGTTTGATCACATGTAATAGACACATCTCCCACATTGACTCTATCCAGCACCATCTCAAATGAGCTTTGTAACTCTTGCCCTTTCAGCTGCTTGGTTGGTAACGTGTGAGCACTGTATTTCAGGCCAGAGTTTTTTAGTTGTGAACCAAGCAACATGGTTTTTCAGAAAGTATCTAGCCTGATTTTGATAGAGTCTTATTAAATGTTTATTGAATCTGATTCAGTGGGGGAGTAACTGAAGGGGCGGAGCATCAGGCATGATTCATGGACGCCTGAGCCACTCAAGAATGAGTAAATAACACTTTCAAGTTGTAGCGCTGCCCACAAAGGAGGCTCATTTGCTGTGGAGACACTGGGGAACGTCGAGTTATTTTTGTCTTAATTTGGCGGTTGAACAAAAGCTTGGGGAAAATATCTAGGAGTCACGACATCTTGAAAAAATGCACAGCTGCTCAATTTTCTGGAATGTACCATCCTGTTGGTGATCCATCCTTGCTGCCAATCTAATGAGAGAGGTAAGTGCTGGGAACTTGTAAATCACCTCGAAAGAATTTTCTCATGTCTTCTTAGATTTTTCTATTTTATGTGTTGTAGTCAATGTCTTACCCAAGAGTTAAAATTAGATGATAAAATCGGTCTCCTTTTCCAAAAAAGGCATGTTTTGATTGGCTTGTAAATTTTAGATTGTGATATTTATGTTTGAGATTTCTAACACATCTGTATGACATGAGACTGGAACTCAGCAGTTATACCCTTATACGGCTCTTCTCTCACCTAGCACAGAGGTACCCCTCTTACCCTTGGCAAGTGCAGGTGAATACTGCAGTTGAAGCTTACACAGCTGGGAACCAATGGGAAAGAGAAGGCTAAGGAGTAGGAACAAAATCCAAGTTGTCTCAGAAATAGTATTGGTAGATATTTTCTAATCTATTTAGTAAATAATCTGGTTTCTTTATTTTGTACATGGATGAAGAAAAACATTGACTGGACTGAAAGGGACAAGGTCAGAGCTGATAGGAAAAGTTCATTCAGGGTAACTCTATTTGTCTGGATCTATTTTAGTAAAACATCCACATATTGAAATAGCCATGAAGAGTATTTAATGCACAGAACATTTTTTATTAGCAGATGACTCAAGCATAAAGTAGTTTTCACATAGCAATTTTGTTTTAGACTTAGATGTCTACGCCTGAAGATTATTACGGTCTGTAGGTGGGCAGCTTAAAATTAGAAGATGGACAGAAATCTATCCATGTGTGCACAAAGCACTTTATTTGAGAACAACAGTAGTTTATTGAAGTAGAAAGCATGGCTGAAGATACGTGGGGGCCAAGAACTAGGGAAGGAAGTCCATATGTCACTGGAATGAAGTTCCACCCCATCCTGGTGCACTGCCTAAGCAAAGCAGAGTCCTTTGAACACACCAACTGAGGTGTGCTTGCAGTAAACTAATTCCAGCACATCTGTGTAGTCCCGATGAATAATAGTTCCACTACTGATGAGCTGGTTAGCGACATGAAGATACTTAGCATCCACCACACAGAGCATTTTCTTAGAGGTCCAAACAATTCTGCAGGACTTTCCATTTCATTCTGAGATACCCAGCACCCTAGCTCTTAGCAGCTGGGCTCAGAGCAGCTTGGAGGGCAGCAGTAGCAGCAGCAGGCTGGGCGGCAGCAGGACTGTCCACAGTAGGATGGGCGGCAGCAGGAGGCCTGGGCATGGTGCAGCTGGCAGCAGGTTGGGGGTGTGCTGCTCACCACACAGCAGGGGGGCAGGCAGGTGCCCTCCACGCGGCAGTCTGGGCGGCACCATCTGACGCGGCAGCTCACGGCTCCACTGCCACCCTCCTGGCCACTGCCAGTTCCACAGCAGCTTGGTTGGCAGCAGCTGGGCTGGCAGCAGCTGGACTGGGAGCAGCAGGGCTGGCAGCAGCTGGACTGGGAGCAGCAGGGCTGGCAGCAGCTGGATTGGCAGCAGCTGGGTTGACAGCAGCTGGACTGGGAGCAGCTGGGCTGGCAGCAGCTGGACTGGGAGCAGCTGGGCTGACAGCAGCTGGTCTGACAACAGCTGGGCTGGCAGCAGCTAGAGCCACAGGTGCCACCGGTGGAGCATGTGGGAAAGCCACAGAAGCTAGTAGCGCAGCAGGCCATGGTGTCAGGCAGGAGTCAAGTTGGTTGTTCTGTGAAGAGAAGTTTCTGAGTTTGGACTGTACCTGCCTCACCTGGCCTTTTATATATTCCTTAGAGCTGCATATTCATCTCACATTTAGCATCTTTCCTTGATGCTAGTTTGCAAAGTCAGTCTTTGATTGGTCAATATCTGAGTAATTGAGAAAATTATAAACAGTGTATACATCGTCTGCTGTAGTCAGTGATCAATTAGTGACACTGAGCTTCCTCTTTTCCCTCTGGTCTAAAGGAAGGTGTATTGACAAACAGCAGCCCTCTATAAAAGTCACATGACAGACTGTGGGCCAAACAGGGCCTAGGCTTGCTTTGTCTCAGCTGACCTTCGATAACCTTAGGCACAGTTCATCCAAAGGAAACATTTGTTTCCTAAGCAGCCACTCAACAACAATCATGATTTCATAAACAGTTTCTTTAGACTCTGTAAGACTAATATTGGTGTCATCAAGACATGAGCCATTTAATTGATCAGCATCTAAACAAAGTCGGCCTCTCTGGGATCATACTGTGCAGGACAGAAGATCCTTGAGGCTCCATGCTTCCTCCTTTTGATCACCAATGCACACATTACAAACCAAAGCCTTTGATGATTTTGCCTTTACGTTGTTTTCTGTCTTTGTCATAGCATAGTATCTATCATCTGTCTGTCTATCTATCTATCTATCTATCTATCTATCTATCTATCTATCTATCTATCTATCCATCCATCCATCTATCTATCCATCTATCCATCTATCTACCATGCATACTATGTATTGCATGATATAAACAAATACTATTTAACAAGGAAATCACCAATGTACACATCACAAACTGAAGCCTTTAATGATTTTGCATTTGCATTATTTTGTCTTTGTTACTTTAAATGTCTTTACTTAATGCAATATATATGTTATCAATACATACCATCTAATAAGTCAAACAATAATGGAGTCATATAAAGAAAAATTGATGTCTCTTTTTTTCAATGTGCACATACATGCACACACACACATGCATATCTTTTCCTAAATTAGTACACCAGAGATGACCAATATCAGCTGTTGGATGTTATTCTTTGGCACCATCATTCATACTTCTAGAAGTAATGACGTGTGTATGTGTGTGTGTGTGTGTATCTTCTATTTCTATAAAATGTGAGTTTTATACATGTTTAACTTCAAATTTTAATTGTGACAAATACTCATTGCATGAAGTTTATGTCAACATTTGAAGTATTTATGTCAATCATCTTAACCTTTGGGTTTTATTATCCCTATTGAAAAACTTTTGTCTATGCATAAGGATTTGTTTCTGGGCATTCCACTCTGATTGTCTATTTTTGTGTTAATGCCACACTATTTTGATTACTTTAGCTTTTAAATACATTTTGAAATCAGGAAGCTTACAAAACTAGTCTTGTTCTTTTTAACAAAGTTCTTTTATTTTTCATTCTGTGTATATGTGTTGGTATGTACCTTACATGGGAGTGGAGATGCCTGTGGAGGCCAGAGGAGACGGATCCCCTTGGAGCTGCAGTTTCAGGCAGTTGTGAGCTGCTCAGTGTGTGTGCTGGGGGAAACTTCTACAAAAGCAGCATTGAGATTTGGATGGGGATTGCATTAAATTTGTGACCTGTCGGTGCTACCATTATTTTCACAGTATAAGTTTTACAGTTCGTGAACATGGGATATCTTTCCACTAATTTACATCTTTTAAAATTTGTCTCAGCAATCTTTTGTTATTTTTGTTGTCCAAATATTTTCCCTCAGTCAAATTGATCCCTTTAGAGTTTCTTTTTCTCCTGAGGCCACTGTAAATGTAATGCTTTCTGTAACTTCTTTTTCCTATGGCTTACTTTTAGTATATAGAAATCCAAGTCTCTCTCTCTCTCTCTCTCTCTCTCTCTCTCTCTCTCTCTCTCTCTCTCTCTGTTGTTTGTGTGTTTGTATTGGTAGCTTTGCTAAATTCATTGCTTGGCCTTAACACTTCTTTTCTGTGTGGATGTTTAGGTGTGTGTGCAAGATCCTGCTATCTTTGGACAGAGATAATTTTACTTTCTCCAATTTGGTTGACATTTATTTCTTTTCTTTACTCTAGCTAGTACTTCTGGTAGTACAATGAGCAGCATACTAAAAGTTAACGTTCTTGTCTAATTCCCAAGCTAATGGGAAAATCCATCAAGCTTTGGCTACTGAGTACGAGGTTAACTATATTCTTTTAATTGACGGCTTTTACTGTATCGAGGTAGTTTCATTCTTTTCCTAGCTTATTGAGTTCTTTAAGTTAAAAATTACATTTGTGTATGTATCAGTGTATGTACGTGTGTGTGTGTGTGTGTGTGTGTGTTAGTGCATGTGTGGAGGTTCAAAGATAACTTGCAGGGATCAGTTCTCTTCTTCCATCATAGGAATTCCTGGGATCAAACTCAGGTTGTCTGGCTTGGAAGTAGCTTTTGCCCACTGAGCCGTCTACTTAGCCCCACTGTTTAAAGGGTTTTGAAATTCATCAAAACTTTTTTTGGGGGGTGGGAACAGTTGAGATAACCATGTATGTGTCCCCCTTTTTATCTGTTAAATAATGTTTTTGTATGCTAGACAATTCCTGCATTGTGAGATAAAGTCTCACTTAGTAATGCTTTTTGATCATTTTATTATCCCATTGAATTGTTTGATAATATTTGACTGATTACTGTTGTATGAATATTGATCAGGAATATTATTCTGCAGCTTTCTTATTTTACTTTGCCATCAGACTGATGGTGGCTTCATAGGCTGAGTTTGGAAGCATTTTTTCTCCTCTTCTTTTTTTATCCCTAATTTCCAGGACAATGAACATTTTTTTGGAGATATTTCTTGCTAATTGCCAGTAATTTTTTAATGTATTTGGTAGAATTTATCTGTGAACATATCTGGTCCTTGGACCTTTTTTGTTGGGAATTTTTGATTACAGATTCTGTGTCCTTTTTAGTTATACTTGTGGTCAATTTTTCAAGTTTTTTTATGACTGAGTATTGATAGGTTGTATGTTTGTAGAATTTTTCCACAGATATGCTTGTATTTCTTTATATATGAGGAGGCCAGAGGTTGATACTAGATGTTTTCTCAATTACTCTCCATTTCCTTGTTCTGAGACAGGGTGAGTAAGCTTGGAGCTTGCTGGTATTCATGGCCACACTCAACTTTTTTTCTTTCATGGGTGCTGAGGAGCAAACTCAGGTTCTCATGCTTAGGTGACAAGCATTTGACCAAATGATTCCAGTTTTTTTTAGTAGATCCTATATATAAAGCTCATTTTAAGAGCCATATAGTACTTCAGAGTACAACAATAGCAGAGTTTATTTACTTATTTTTATAAATTGTCTTAATTTTTTGTTGTTTTTGTTTCTGTTTTTTCAAGACAGGGTTTCTCTGTGTAACAGCTCTGGCTGTCATGGAACTCACTCTGTAGACCAGGCTGGCCTCAAACACATAGATGTCTGCCTGCCTCTGCCTCCTGAGTCCTGGGATTGAAGGCATGCGCCACCACCACCAGACTAATTTTAATTTTTAAAACAAAACCATATTACACAGTTTCCCCCTTCCCTTTGTACTCCCTAGCCCTTCCCATGTCACCTGTCCCTCTTTACTCCATCTCAAATGAATGTCTTTCTTGTCTTTAATGATTATTGTTATGTATAGATGGACATAAACCTATAGATACAGTGTTCTGAATCTGTTCAGTACTGCTTGTACATACATGGTTTCAGAGCTGACCATTTGGTGTTGGATAACCAACTAAGAGCCTCATCCTTGAAGAAGACTAATTCTACTGCTCTCAGCGTTCCTTAGTTGTCTGTAGTTCTTTGTCCAGGGGTGGGGACCATAAGCGTTCCTCTTTCCATGTTAGCATGTCTATTGATCTTGTCCCTGCTCTGGTCTGGTTTAGACAGCCATGCTAATGAGGTACCACAACTGATGCTCCCTATCATTTCTAGGAGACAATCTCACAGCAGATTTCCTGGTCCCCTCTCCACATCTTCACCCACAGTTTCCAGAACCTTAGATGTAAAAGTTCTGCTGTGGATGTAGCTATTGGGACGGGACACAACATGACCAGAAGTTCTTTGCATTTTGATTGGTTAGAGTTTTCTGTAATTGTCTCCTTTTGTTGCAAAGAGAGGGACGTGAGCTACATTTATCTGTGGGTATAAGGACAGATTTTTATAATGTAGTTAGGAATTATGCGGATTTAATAAAGTGACTGTAGTTTCTCTTCTAAGATTCATGACCTCAATAGGGATAAAACAAACAAACAAACAAACAATAAAAGAATGGCTGACAGTGTGTATTTGCCTGGGGCTGCAGTTCAGCTGGTAGGATGCTTGCTGAGCATGGATGAAGCCCTGGGTCCAGTCCCCGGAACTAAAAGAACCAGATGTGGTGGCACATACCTGCAATCTCAGCACTTGAGGATGGAGGCAGGAGAACAAGAAGTTCAAGGTTACATATTCAGACATAGTTACATAGTAAAATTGAGGCTAGCCAGGATGTGTGAGACCCTGTTTTCAAACAAACAAACCCCAAACGCAAAACAGTATGTGATAACGATGGAAGGTTGAATTTGCACAAGTGTTTGTGTTTCCTTTTCTTCTATAAGCACTGGGCAGTTTATGTGATGAACCTGAAAGTAGATGGTGGTTAGAATTAAGGGGGCAGAAGGACAGACTGTGCCCTCGTTTCTGCCCTGTCCTTATAAGGCACTTTTGGATTCGAGTAGGTTGCTAGACAGTCTGTCAGGGAAGTGACCTCTTGGCTTACCCTTTGCCCTTTGTTCACACCTTCTATTTTTCTGAGTTTGTTACTATTTGAATGTATAAATTTTGATTTAAACCAAAGAAAATTCTCATTTGATTCTTCACAGTTATTTATTTTATGTGTGTCTATGGGGGCTACAGGGCTTATGAAGAGGTAAGAAGACAACTTGAAGGACTCAGTTCTTCTCCT